AGGGCTGAGCTCTGATGCTTTGAGATTTCCAATCCTACCCTGATACATTGATTTCTGGATTAGTTCTGCAAAGGACACACTTTTACTGGTGGTTTCCAAAGCTTGCTTTTTTTCCCTCTATGTAGGTGTCTTTGGAAACAAAACTTCATTAAGCAGTAAAAGAGGTGAGCTGGATGTGGTGGTTTTCATATGGTAGCCTTGAGCACTTGCTAAGGAAGTAAAAGAGTGAAGTTGTGATCTGGTGTTGCAAGAAATGCTTAGAAAACCATAGAATCATAGAATGCTTTGGGGCCTCCACTACCTCTCTGGGCAACGCGTTCCAGTGTTTCACCACCCTTACTATAAAAAATTTCTTCCTTATATCCAGTCTAAATCTACCCTCTCTTAGTTTAAAGCCATTACTCCTTGTCCTGTCACAACAGGCCTTGTTAAAAAGATTTTCCTCATCTTTCCTATAGGCCCCCTTCAGGTACTGAAAGGCTGCAGCAAGGTCTTGTCGGCTTCTGATATTTGGTTTTGAGTAAAAATAGATTTGTTGAAATCTGATAATTATTTAAAAGATCAGCATTCACTCCTTTCTTATGCTTTGTTTGTCTCCAGCTGCTTCCCTCGGAGGAGAGCAGAACCGCGGATCAGAACTCTGCACTCGCTTCATACTTATTTGTACGTCTCATTCACACACAGTCATACAACATCAACTTGGAAAATAATGCAGTCAGCCCCTCTCAGAGCCCACCTGTAAAACACAACGCAGCCAGTCCCTTGGGGAGCCCGCCCTCCATTTCAATGGGCTGCTCTACCCGCCTGCGGATAGAGTACTCCCTCCTGAATCCCGACTGATAAAACAATAGATTCGTGATCCTTGAGTTTGGATAAAGCACAACCAAGGCACGATACCGGTAAACCAACCAACCTCACAATATATTCACAACAGCTCTGAAAGTAACGGTCTAACATAAGCGGCGCGAAAGAGAGGAAGAAGGAAGGAAGGAAACAAAGAGGAGAGAAAGAAGACAGAGAGATAGATTAGCACTAGAAAAGGAAAGGCGGGGATAGTCACCACCCTGGATCCCGTGACGTCCCGTGGGTCCTTTGTTGATGGTCCTCAGCTGTCAGTGGTGGCTGCATGCACATAGTCTCGCAGAGTGTCCTTTTATATCCATCTGAGTCCATATGGCGTGATCAGTTCACACCAATTACCTTGCACCTGTCGCTTTTGCACCAATCCAATTATTGCATACTAGTCACTTTTACACCAATCACCTTGGTGCGCGCGAGTCTCCAAGGTGTTGTCCCTTGGCTGTTCTTGGTGAGTGTCTCCCCCTTGGAGCAGGTGGCAGATCTTGTCTGGTCGGCCATTTTAAACAGGAGGTGAGACTTGAGATGGTGGCAAATTTTCTGAGACATCACGAAAATGGTGGGGCTGAGTCCCACAGGTGTCCTCACAGCCTTCTCTTCTCCCCCAACGCTCTCAGCTTTTCCTCACAGGACAGGTGTTCCAGCTCTTGGATCATTTTTGTCACCCTCTGGACCCGCTCCAACAGCAGGTTTCTTGTGCTGAGGGCTCCAGAGCTGGATGCAGGACTCCAGGTGGGGTCTCACCAGAGCGAAGCAGAGGGGCAGAATCACCTCCCTTGACCTGCTGGCCACGCTTCTCTTGATGCAGACCAGGATACGATTGGTTTTCTGGGCTGCGAGTGCACACTGGTGGCTCATATCTAGCTTTTCATCCACCAGTACTCCCAAGTCCTCCTCGGCAGAGCTGCTCTCAATCCCTTCATCCTCCAGCCTGCACTGATACTGAGGGTTGCCCCGAACCAGGTGCAGGACCTTGCACTTGGCCTTGTTGAGCCTCATGAGGTTCACACAGGCCCACTTCTCCAGCTTGTCCAGGTCCCTGTGGATGGCATCCCATCCTTCTGGTGTGTCTGGCCACAAGCAGTTGAGAACAGGGTGTGACTTTCTGAGGGATTAGCTGTCTAACTCTGCCAGATTCTCAAATGGGGAGGCCAAAGTTCCAAAGTTAATTATTTTGACCAGTGCACTCAACAGGATAAAAACAAAGGAAAGCACCTGCAAAGCGGAAGTGCTTTTGATTTGAAGTGCCCTCTGAGAAAGGAATCCTTTTCATTGTAATTTTGGTCTCCAGGGACTAAAATTTGAATTCCAGTCTTAGAAATACACATCTTTCTTTGTATTTGACCACATATAATTTAGAGCACTGTCTTTTCCTTCAGAAAGACAATACAGTACTGTAATGATAATGTAGTAAACACCCTGCATAGATGAATATTTCTTCTTTTAACCTGGGATGGGGTCAGTGCTCACTTATGCTTTAAAGCAAGGCCATTATTGCAGCTGTTCAAGTTGTTAAGAAGATTGGGACCATCTTACATTTTTCTTTTTTCAGCATCTCTTCATAGCAGTTGCCAGGAATATCCAGGTTTGTTATAAAGAAACTTGCAGCAGTTTTGTGTAAATTTTTACTGCCAAAAAGCCTAGTTTTCTTGAAATAACAATGCTCAGAAATAGATCTGCTTATAAAATAGAATGGGATCCATATGTATTTGTTGCTCATAAAGCAGACTTTTTCTGAGATTTTTTTCATGCTTGCGGTATATTACTTTAGCCAGAAACTCTATATCAAGATGTTTTTGAAGTTTCATCCTACTGAGTCAGTAGCCAGAATACTTCTAAGTAATTTTGGTGATGTCAGTTTTAACATGTGAAGTTTATTTTCATTCAGTGGAGCATCAACTTAAAAATAAATCTCGTTTCTGTAAATCACATTCAGCATTTGGTAGTCACCTATCCAGTCTCCAATGGTACCACCAGCTAGTACTGTATTGGATTTGAAATATGTTGCTGTTAACTTCCACAGCGCTAGGATTTCCCCAGGGATGTTTGAGTGCTGCTCTGTTGAATGAAATTAAGTGCAATTGGAAGGCTTCTAAATAAATTTTAGTAAAGCTGATAAATGTGATTCTCTTACAATGAATGGTGTGAAGGCGGTCTTTCTCAGCTAATACAAATCTCTCTAAAATTGGTTGGGATCACCCAGAAGCACCAGTCTCCTTGGGTGGACTGAAGCCTGGTGTACTATTTCCATGTTATGTGTTTTATTTGAATATGAATAACTGAAGCTGGCTGAAAAAAAGATGTTCATATTTAATGTAGTAGTAATCATTTGAGGCAGTTAAGAGTTTGATCACTGGTAGTGTCCTGTATCCTAGAAGTGTGTAAGAACAGCAGTAGATAAATATGTTGTCTCCTGCACCCTGGTTACTAAAATCTTCATGTGCCAGCGAATTAGCTAGCAGAACTCCCAATTTTTTTGACAGAATTTTGTCTCTTTAACAAAAATTAATCTCCTAGGAAAAGCCTTATTAATTTCAGACACTGGCACCTGCTTACATAAATCCACTTGCCAGATCTGACCTTATCCTCGTGAGTCAGAAAAGAGCCACGTACAAGCAGATAGGTTGGTGGCTATTTTTAAATCTGCACAACTATCACTGTTGCCCATCTCAGTAATTCTGATATATTTTTAAGAGGAAAATACATTTTTCCTAAGAACTGAGTGTTTTGAATGAGTTTCTTATGAGTTACCAAAGGTGTCATCACCTGCTTTGAACAAAATAACAATGTTGATGTTCATACTTCTTTTTACTTGAAGTGGAAGCTTTTATTATCAACAGCATACTATTGTTGCTTGGTAAACAAAGCAAAGCTTTATACAGAATTAACATTTTACAGACCAAAACAAAAAAAATGTGTCTAAAGAAGAAATTAAAAAACAACTAGTTGATGAAATCAAAATAGAATTTTTCCAGAAGAAGGCTCCTCAGATCTTAGATTTGAAAAATTAGGAATTATCTGTTTTGAAATGGGAGAAATACCAGAACGACAATAAAACCTCTGCAAACAAGAAGTACTGTTAACAACAATAATTTAGGTACTGTTCTCTCCTGAAATATTTATACACCTGAGAAGCTGATTGCACTAGACACTTCCCATGTCTGCAGAAAGGTAATAGTGCTCTACTGTCACAGTCCCAGGGTCTGTGTGCTTACAGATTTTGGCAATGAAGCCATAGGAATAGGAGACTGTCTTACAGTACCCTACTGTTGCCTTGCTTACAGGGACACGTGCAGGACCATAATTAAAACTGGTTTGGTCTTTATAAATTAAAGAACAAATTGCTTGTTGTCTTCTGCTTCCCTTGTTTATTTACTTCAAGTAGTCATAGGCAGTAAATTCGAAAAAAAAAAGAAAGCAACATCATACATTTGTATTAGATGAGCACACTGGAATGGGCAATTAGTGCTTTTATGTTTAGGAAGTTTGAAAATAATAAATCAGGTGAAACTATCAGTGAGCAAATCTTGGTAGGTGAGGCATTGCCATTGAAAAGTGGGCGTTATTAATTGAAGTAAAGAATTTTGCTTGACACTCAAAAATAGGCAAAATCAAAATTAAAATCCTACTCATCTAACACTAGAAAAGATGGATTTTGGGGGAGAGGGAGAAAAAGTTGTACCCAGGGCAATATGGTCTTTCAGTAATCAGTAGCAAGTACCATAAATCCGCGTGTACTGTCGTCATCTTTTGGTTTTAACTCTCTTGCTGGTGATGTGGGTTTAGGTTCTGTTCTACAATCAGCAGTTTCCAGTTTTCTTTCATCCTTCAAAGGTTTTTCCAAAACTCTTGATACTGATAGTTTAAGGAATTAATGTTTGCATGTGTGCTGTATAGCTTTGAGTTTCCTTGTGGCTACTTAATATGTTACTGTGACTGAAACTGTTTTTGCTCTTACATCCTAACTAGTTGTTTGGTATTTTTTTTTTTTTGTGATGTAAAGTTCCATAATAGGGTGATCTGTGCATTGTTATTTGTTTTTGTAACTGGATTGTAATATTTAAATATAAGCCAACGTTATTTACTAACTGTTTGTAGTTTTACTTGGCTGACAGCCTGTGACAAAGGAGGTATTTTTTCAGGCTGAACAAGACAACGGCCATCCTCTTCCTGCCTTTGCCAATCTGCATATTGAAGTCCTTGATGAGAACAATCAGAAGCCGTATTTCACAAGATCTACGTACAATGGCTTCATCCTCGAATCCTCTCCCGTGGGAACAACCATCTCTGATAACCAGAATCTGACTTCTCCTCTACAAATCATGGCGTTGGACAATGATGTGGAGGAGGTATGTTTCTTGTTCTTTTATAGTGTCATACTGGTGTTTACATTTTTATTATTTTAGAGTTTTTTATATTTTCATATATTTTATTGAGACAAAATTGTTTTGATCATAAATTAAAAAATCCAGTTTCTTTTTTGTTTTCATTCTGAGTACAAGTAGATATGAAAGTGCATCTGAACTGAAAAACTACTCTGTATTTTTCTCAGCTCTCCTTAAGAGAGTGTCCTGTTAGAGATGATGAATGCTTAGTGTGAAGAGAAAAAAAAATGCATGTTGTGAGAAGGGTGAATCTGCCACACAGTGTGGAGAAATGGGAGGGAGAAGCTCAAAGTGGAAGGAAGTAATAGTTTGAACTAACCAGGAAGAAAAGGAATAAGATGACAGGAAGCTGAAAGTTCAATCCATTCTTTGCTCTGCCTGGAATTTGATAATGACATTACTCAGTAAAAATTGGGCATCTTCAAAAAAATAGTAACCAACTAGTAACAATACTATGCCTCTAGGGCTAACGTTTCTTCCATTCTTACCAGGGCTGTTGGGATTACGTATTTTTTGATAACCTTTCTTTTTCATGTAACTACTGTTTTCTCTCCAGTTGTCCCCCTTGTCCTTTTTTGTTTCTGTTCTTCTGTTCTCTTGTTATCTTCATATATGTAAGGAAAGCTAAGTTGTAGGCATAGGTTTTGTAGTAATATTTATAGTAAATGACAATACTCTTTAATAAAGTTCTTAACCTAATAGTCTGGAAACCATCTTCTGTTTCTGAATATTTCACTTCTGACATGAGCAAATTCAATATTTTTGAAAAACACGAGAGGCCATTGTCACTGAAAGATGCTTTCCGCATCACTGTGTCACTGTCTGCATTACAGTGATTTATTGTCCTAAGAAGCAATTTTAAAGCTCAAACTCTTGTAGAATATCTTCTTCCTATTCATTATAATATCTCAGTCGATTTACTGGCATTCACAAAAATTGAATGGAAGGCAAGTGAAAGTGGCTATTGGATCTGGCTTTCTTAGGGGCCAGATAAAAAGTATGGAATAAGTGCATGCAGCAGTCATCTGCAGGCATTGCTGATGATTTTATTACTTGTGAAATACTCTTGTTCAGTGTTGCTTTTGTTAAAAGCAAAGCAGTTTTCTTATTTGATCAAATTAACGGGATCTTGTAGGTTGCTTAATATAGGAATAAGAAAGTTGTGCAGGCATCAGGTATGTGTTTATATTTACAATACATTGTCTGATTGTGTTGTATAAAATCTATTCGGGTAATGTGTGCCTGAGCACAACAGAAATCAAATCGTATGAGTTAGTGTCCACAGTTCTAAGTCCTTTTTAAGCTACTCATTTGAGAGATTTTTCTCAGAAGGCTGCTTTTACTTCTGTGATGCTTATGTGTATTAAACAAAAAAAAAATATGGGAATATTTTTAGATGGTTTTAGCCTAAGCGAATTGCTGTCTTGTTTTTGTTATATCCATGCCTTCATGAAAGTACTAGTAAAACCCTTTGGTTCAAATATGCCTTGGTGCATGTCTGTTAGAGAAATCTGCAATTTTAGGGCACTAGTTATGCCCACCTTATAGCATGTGTGACTGCATGTTAACTTTACAAAAATGGAAAGAGAGGCTATTAGTCACCTGAAGAGTGGAAGACTGAAACCGAGCAAGTCTGTCTGTGAGACTGATAGACTTGGGCATTAGATACGTATGGTCTGAGTTTTTGGCAAGCTGGAGAGCTTGTTGTGAGCTGTTTCTGCCTGGGTTGTTACACTGCCAATTTGAGCAATGGACAGCCAAAAATAGTACAAAAATGTCACTGTTAATCCACAGTACGGTGCTGGTGTTTCTCTATCTGCAAGTCCACTGATGTTCCAGGGATTGTGATATTTGCCCTCAAGGCTTTGTAGCTGCAACAGCCTAGGAAGATTCTGCTGTGTATACGAGGTCCATAGTGGCAGAAGACGACATGCAGCATGGCTGGTGAGGGAGGGGCTGAATCTGCTGTGCTTGAAATAATTCAAAATAACTGTTTTAATTAAAAGAGAATTCAGTGTCCTAGTTCAGATGCTTTAATTTATGTGGCAGTTTTCCATGCTGGTGGTTTAGGGGGACTCTGTCCTATTTCCTAGTAGATTATATTGTTAGACTAAAGGAATGACAGACTTTGGACTTCATTAACCTCTGGAGGTTTCTCAGGATGCAATTAATAGTGCTCTGATTAATCTTTCCCTGGCAGCTGCACAAGTCTACCCACAAGTTGTCAAAGGCAGATTTGATAATACAAGATTCTTTAACATAACTAAATATTAGAACATATATGAGACTGAAAATCACTTTGAACTGTTAAATTCTGAATTTGGGCTACCTCTTTGATTTAATCATGTAACTACCAGGTAGTTAGTATAGCACGTGATACTTGTATACTCTCAGACTGCAAATATTTCATTTCAAAAACTTCTTTGTGGAAGAGTAATTTGTTCCTTTAATATGAACTACTTAATAAGGTAATCCTGGTATTTATGTTCTGCGCTGAAAGTGCTTCCTGTCACTGATTTTGTCAGTACAAGTTCAATATCTCAAGTTTTGAGGAGTGCTCTGAAATTCATCACGAGTAGTTTGACCATAGGGCTCCATGTTTTATTGTTGTGCCTTTTCTATAGTACATCAGCATGTTTCCATGAAGTTATCTCAATATTTGGATATTGGATAGGGTGGTTCAGTAATATACTTCTGTTTGCCTGCTCTAGAAATATCAGCTTAGGTGTGGCCTAAATATTTGCAGTTTTAATTGTATTGCTATTAATAAAAAATATCTGTCCAATCTGCAGCAGATATTTCAATTGGGGCCACTAACATAATTTAAATAATCTGCATCCAAAGACAATGAAAATCAAGTTTATAATTCTTGAATGCAAGCTGCTTTAGGCAGCTGATTAGAAGTTGTTAAATATTTCTGTGTCTCAGTACAAATAGACCTGAAATTTCATATCCACAGGAAGTGATCATTGAAGGGCCAAAACTACTTCCCAGTGAACTTAACACTTGGTTGTTTTATATCATGTTTTTATTTGCATTGGATAATGAAGAACAGGAGTTTGGTTAAGATAATGAAAACCTACTTCAGTCACATGACACAAAATGAAACAGACCCAAAAGTTTTCCAGTGAATTATTTTTGTTTATTATTGAAAAAGTGTAGTATTTCAGTGTTACATAATGAATAACTGGCAAGGATTTCTAGAATGAGAAATGATGTGCCATAAAGACTTAATTTTGACACCCCACTCCATCCACCCAAAGTGAGGAGAAAATAATGATGATTGCTGGCCCAGCTGGGATGTAATGCCATGTGCTGGGGCAGATGGGCTGTGGTGGAACCTGGCCAGTGGCCCTCGTGTTCTGTCCGCCTTGCTACTAGAATGACTCTGTACCTGTGAGGCCATTTCCCTTAGGTATGGGGGGGTAAGGTCAGGTGGTACAGCTATGGGGGCTCCTTACCAAGCCTGGGAGATGCAGGGAGAAGGAAGGGTTGCTCTGTCTCAGCAACGTGAACTAGTCAGGGAAACTGGTGCCAGATTCTGTGACTGTATCAGTCTTCTCTCTTGCATGTTTTATTGATGCTTAAGGCCAACAAGATCTGATCCATCAGATCTGCTAGAGGTGCCGCGTCCTCTCTCTGTCTAGAAAGAATGCTGTAAACTTATCTCTGGAGATAGAGAGATCTGCCTACAGCCACAGAGATGATGATCAGCTTCATCCTTGGGTGGAAGTGCTCTGTGCAGTTTCCTGTCCCTTTGGCGTCACTGACTCATGCCAGCACAGCTCTTTCCAATTCTATGAAATGATGCAGGTATAACATGGATGCGAGGGAGGAGAGAATCAGGTTTAAGTGACTGCATGTTAATACATGTGCTAGTGATTCATGTAGTGCTTATAACCAGTTGTGGCATGAGACTTCCAGAAGAGTAAAGCTGGGAGTGCAGCAATTGCTTATAACTCGTACATAAAACATCCAAACAAACTAAAATCACAGCTACCTTCTTGCTGGCACTAGATGGTAGCTCAGGGTGTGTTAATAAGCACAGGTAATGCTTATTAGCTCCTGCAGTCTTAATGTTCTGATGGCTTCATTGTATCTTAGTAAATTAATGTATTTATTAAGTAGGGATTGCTGATCAGAAGTTGACAGAGATCCTCTACGTGCTTGTGCATGTTAGTACTGACACTGGCTAAACATAATGTATTCAGTCTTCTAATTGACAAATCAGTTGAGATTGTATTTCATATTAAAATAACTCCCTGTCCTCAGATAAATACATTAAGAAAGTGGTCATCTTAACTGTGTATCTTAAGAAAAAAACAAAACACATTCTAAATTCAAACCTTGTGGGAATTATAATAGGGTCCTGCTATAAACCTTCCAAAAATTTAATTTATAGATGTGACATTGCAAACAGACTTTTAACTAGGGCAGTGCTGCCAAGTGCTGATATAATTAAGTGGCCTGTTTAAATGGCATGAATTAAATTAAGCCACAGGAGTACCGTAAGACCTGAGTAAACCAGCTGAGATGAGGAATTTAAACAGTATGATCTGATTGCTGTTTACATAAGACTTCCCAGGCCACTTGCTTCCTTGCTTTTTTGCTTTCATGGGAGAGTACTAATTTCTTCTCCTGTGGTGGTTAGAGTTGGTAACTGCCCTGTATGCCAAATCTTTTTGAATGTCTCTCAAAAAAGAACAAACCAAACCACTCCCCGGATTTAGCATCAAGGTTGAAAGAAGACAGTGGCATTCATATCCATTACATACTACTCAACTACCAAGGTGTTTACTGATACCACATGTAGTGTCTTGATCAATAAGTGTAAGGTAATCTGTGCTTTGCTCATTAGAGAACAAAATTAATATCATGATTATAAGATGTGCCAGCATGTGTTCAAAAACATTTAACATGTCCCAGCACACATTGAGAAATTGCAGTAACCCTGATGCTTCTGT